ACTAAAATTTCTAATTGTATAGGATATCTTGCTCTTTATACTATATAGAGATATAGACGCGTTCTTTGTAGATAATAGATAGTGGGATAGCATACCTAGTAGCATAGATGTAACGGCGCAGGCAAGACTACTCGGATCAGTACCGGCGGTAGTGTCACTCAGAGGCATATGGGAGTGCGTGGGACATCAAACGAGCCTTGATTCGAATAGACACCTATAGGCCTTGTACGAAAGGATATCAAAAGTCTACAGAGCTAGCTACAAGGAGTGTCTCAATATATACCTGTCCTAGTCGGGTCCGAATCGGATCCGACTAAGAACGAGTAGCTGATGAAGGGGCGGCCGATACTTCCTCTGATCCGGCTTCTGGGATTGGTCCGATACTTGGCGAGGCTGTAACATCGTTACACTACCCCCCTCTCAGTAGACAGCTAGTCCCATAGCTGTGAGACTTTCTTACGCCTTTCCATTGCAGTTCCTCCCCGCCAGCACTGGTACGTGTTTCGGGTGGCTTTCGGCTTATGATTCGATACCCACTTTTTCTTTTCTTTTCTTCCCTACACTCGATCGTCTTGCAGTGAAGTCATGTCGTCTATACCTTTCTCCCAAGCTTGAATCCACTGGCTAAGGGCCCGAGGGGGTCCCGGCTTAGATGGATTTCGCTCATGGAACTCTCTAAGCTTATGTGGAGCTCCCATGAAGTTGGAGGCAGGGTACCACGTAGGGTCCGGATCATGTCCGACCCAGCTTACTCTGTATTTCAGCTTAGAGCGATATAACTTACTAGCAAGGATCTGGTCTACTTCCCATTCTTCTACACCTTGGATGGGTACGCCAGGTGGCTTAGGAGCTTCTTGTCCTGGGAGGGGATCTTGAGGGTCCTTACACAACAGGTCCGGGGCAAAGACGTCGTGGATTCGGGATCCTGTCGGTAGTTGCAGTTGGTAAGAATGACCAACCTTCTTAAGAACCTTAAAGGGTCCTTCCCATTTTGCGGCAAGCTTACGGCTCGGACGGTCGATCGCGAGGTTCTTGGTATCTAAGAACACCATATCACCGATGTCCCAATCGATAGGGCGACGGTGGCGATTGACGGCGGATCGCATCCGGTCCTGTGCCTTCTCTATCTGCTGCTTAGCGGTATCCCATGCGGCATGCATGCGGGTGGCAAGCGCCAGGGCATCCTTATGGTTAAGTTTGTCGGTAGGCGTGAGGATGCTGGTCGGGTGCTTCCAGTCCCAGCTCTGCTTAGGTTCGGATCCGTACAGGATCTGATACGGGGACATGCCGATAGAAGAGTGAGGTAGGGAAATTTGGGCGCGATCGATCAGAGGCAGCAGTCCGCTCCAGTTGTCCTGATAGTAGGATACGAATGGGCGCAGTCTCTGATCAATGTATTTGTTCATAATCTCTGTCTGACCATCAGTTTCTTTATGATAGGCGGTAGATAGCTTAACTTTGACGCCTAGGATCCGACAGAACTCGGACCAGAAACTGGACACAAACTGTGGTCCTCGATCAGAGATTATAGTCTCCGGGGTGTGTCCGAATCGGTACACCCACTGGACGAAGAGCTCGGCCATACCCCTTGCGTCGATAGTCTTATGACACGGGATAGAGATGGCCTGCTTGGACAACCGGTCGATCACGACCATAATCTGATCGTATCCGGCCTTGTCCTTAGGGAATTCCTTGAAGTCAATGCAGAGGTGTTGCATCGGCCGGTCAGGAATGGGGAGGGGGTGAATCAGTCCGGGGACTCGGGTCTGTCTCGGATGGGCTTTGCGGCAGGCGAGGCAGTTCCGCACATACCTCTTGCAGGTAGCTTCCATGCCTTTCCAGTAGTACTTCTGAGACAATAGCTGGTAAGTTTTCTTTGCACTTGGGTGGGCTGATGAGACCTGATCGTGGGCCTCTCGAATCAATCGAGTGCAGGCGGAGGAGTCTGGTTGCACGCAGAGACGGTTCGAGTAGAGCAACAGTCCGTTTTCTATCCGGTACCTGTCTGGGAGAGAGCGGCGCTCTTTTTCGAACGATATCCGATTCTGTTGCAACAGGAGCTCGATCAGCTCAAGGGAGTCCAGGGACATAGTCTCCTGATTGGGCTCAACTACCAGCAGTGAGGTAGCCTGTTCTGATAGTTGTTCCACATATGCCTTGGCGAGTTCGGAGTTGATTCGGTTGTCAAGTCGGTGCGGTCCTAGGAGGACCCGCGAACGGTTATCGATTTGGGCGGTCCTCAAGTTCTGCATATCCTGCTCGCGACGGCTAAGGATATCGGCGCGAGCATTGTCCTTGCCGGGCGTGTATCGGATACAGAAGTTGAACGACGCGAGTTGTTCAGCCCATCTCACTTGTCGGGCGTTCAGAACCTTTGTAGTCATGAAGTATTCCAGCGAGCGGTGGTCAGAGTACACTTGGACTTGAGAGTGAGTCGAGGCTAGCTCGGATCTCCATTTGTCGAATGCTACCACGATAGCATACAACTCTTTATCGTGTATCTCCCAGTTCAGCTCCGATCCGGATAGGACCTTGCTGAAGAAAGCTACTGGGCACCATGAGCCATTAGGTTGGTTCTGAGACAGTACCCCAGCCACAACACCATCAGATGCGTCTGTCTCTACCTTAGTGTCATACTCTGGGTGGTAGTGATACAAGGTGGGAATTGCTAGCAAGGCTGCTTTCAACCTTTCAAAGGCACGGTCGCAATCCGAATCCCATACGAAGGGCTTTGCAGGGCTCTGGAGTGCGATAATTGGCTTAGCAATTCGCGAGTATTCTGGGACGAATTGCCGATAGAATCCTGTGAAGCCCAGGAACGACTTCACACCAGTAACGGTAGTAGGTCGGGCCCAGTTGCGGAGGGCTTCCACCTTGTCGGGATCTACCTCTAGGCCTTTGCTAGTAAGGATATACCCTAAGTACTTGGTCCGAGTGACATGGAATTCGCTCTTCTTAATGTCGACTTGGAGTCCGGCTTGTCGTAGCCTTTCCAGTACCTTGCGTACATGTCGGATGTGTTCCGCCTCCGACTCGGAGTAGATAAGAATATCGTCTAGGTAGGCTATGCAGAAGTTGTCTAGGTAATCAATCAGCACATCGTTCATGTACCGCTGATATGTCGCTGGACCGTTGCATAGCCCAAAGGGCAACACCTTAGTCTTGTACGTTCCGTAACGGGTGCGGAACGTTGTGTACTCCTCAGAGTCGGGGTCCATCCGGATCTTGTTGAAAGCCGCGCGTATATCAAGCTTGGTGAAGATTTTGGCCTTGTGAGGACGAGCGAGCAGCTCGTCGATACGCGGGATCGGATACGCATCCTTGCGTGTGATGGCATTAAGCTTGCGATAATCCACACAGATGCGGAGGTCTCCGTTTGGCTTCCGAACACAAAGGACTGGGGAGGCGAAAGGACTATGGCTTGGGGAAAAGTATCCTTTCTGGAGGTTATCTATAACGAACGCTTTAGTTGCTTTAAGCTCTTCAGTGCTCTGCTTATATAGGGGACTGAACTGGTTCGGCAGAGGTTCGGTGAGAACGATCTTGTGGTCGTACGGGCGGTGTTCAGGAAGCTGATCAGCGGCGGTCTTGCTGAACACGTCTCGGTACGGACGGTAGACGGATGGGAGTCGGTCCTGAACTAGCTTGGCATTATCAGGATCGTCTTTTAGTTGTCTTTCTTCGAGGATCCGATCAATCTCGTAGATGCTTGTCGTGAAGAACTCGTTTTCCTTGCGTTTCATCGTGTAGTGGAAGGCATTGGCTGAAATAAGTGAGATGCGGGGTGAAGGAGGAGAAGAAGGTGCAGGTCGGACAGGTTTCGGAACGGGGTTGGGTGTCGGCGGTAGAGGACGGGCTTTAGGGAGTCGAAGAAGACCACGGATTCTTTGAATACTAGCCGTGGTTGGGCTGTTTCTTCTCCGATAGTCGTCCTTCTCCCAGAGAGCGTTGCGTCTCTCGATATCCTTCTCAACCTCGGTGTCGACAGCTGGTTGTTTCAACTGCACTAAAATAGGCGGGGCAGGATCATAAGTTGCTGGGTACTTGGCTGGCCACACGATTCGGTTCCGAACCGTGTCTAGTTGAAGCTGGAAGCGGCGCAGCCACTTAATCCCAATAATGCAATCCTGTGATCCTAAATCCATGATAACGAAAGGGCAGTTGTAAACCTTGCGGCCATCGATAGAGAGGTGCAACCGAATATATTGATTAACCCTTGTTTGAACCTGATCTTGAAATCCTTTGACTGTAATCTTAAAGGGCAGTCTTCGGATAGGAACCTGAAGCGAATTAGAGATTGTACGAGCAATTGCAGAATTTAAAAATAAGAACCCTTGGGCTCCAGTGTCAACCAGCGATTGCAGGCTGACGCCGTAGCCCTTCGAACAAAGGACGGTGGGAACTCGGAAGTGCTTTCCTCCAAACAAGTGTGACAGATCGATTTTAGCAAGGTCATACTTGTAGATGCCTAGGGCGGAGCGTTTTCCTAGGCTTCGTCTTTTCCCGTCCGATCCTCATCCGAATGGTACTCTGCAGCTTCCTCGAACACATCTTCTTCTTGTATTGCTTCTATCTCTCTCACCCGAGGGACTGGACAGTCATTCGCGAAGTGTCCGGGCTTGCCGCAGTTGTAGCAGTTACCAGGGGTAGCTTGGCGTTCTGGTACTGGTGTCTTTGAAGCAGGCCTGGGTACACTCGAGGCAGCCCGGGGTGGGGTCGGAGCGGGGTCGGGGCTTGCCCCGTATGTGATAGGACGATGCTCTCTTGTGTAATTAACAGCTGGCTTAGGTTTCGCCGTTGGAGCATAGGTAGTCCGTCGCTCCGAACCTACTCCGATTGGAGTGTTTTTCCGTTCCATGTCATAGGCGGTGAGATGTTCTACCATCTGTTCAAACGAGTTACCCCAGGATCGTCGGAATCCAATATTGGGAACCCGTAGGCTGGCAGTAATCTTTTCCCAGAGGTAGAAGGGCCACTCCGAACGGGATACGGACCCCTTGATAGCGGCACTGATAAAACGCGCCTTGAACGCTGGGAACGATTCTCCCTTGTTCATGAGCAGTCGGTGGAAAGCTGCACGGCTCTCCGCTTGCTCATTGCCAGATACGAAGTATGATTTAAGTAACGCAATCATTTCCTCCGCATTTTGGAACCGATACCCGTCCGAATCGGATAGGTACTGAGGTTCTAGGTATCCCTTCGCGATACCAGTGGTGTGGCCCCACACTAATGCCATTCGCGCTCGCTCACTCCGGTAGTGATCCGAGTTGATTTCGAGTCGATCTACTATCGAAGCTTGCCATTGACGGAAAGTAGGATCTACGCCATCGCTTAAGCTTTCTATAGCGGGCGTACGCTCACTGAGTTTGACACGTGGAGGCTCGGGGGTGGTCGAAGTGTACCTTGGAGATGGACTAGAAGGTGGTTCGGCCGTTATCGGTGGGGATTCGGTGGTAAGAACTACGTTCCTCCGGAGCTCAGCATTTTCTTGGGTTAGTCGGTGTACTTGGTCCACCAGGCTGGCCATCTGCCTATGGAGGTCTCTCATAGTTATTACTGATATCGAATCCTCCTCGTCTTCGTCTTCTTCTCGTGGTGATGAAGTCTCTAGAGATTCCTGGGTTGGCAGCTTGCCAGCTCTCTTCTCTGAGACGGTTTGGTCCTGTAGTCGGACCGATTTTCGGGGTGGTTCCTTAGAACTACCGGGTTTTAACGGGTCAACCATCAGCGATTGCCTCTGAGGTTGATGGGTTTTTTGGTAGTCTCCGAGTCTCTACCTTGGCGCACTCTTCGCGACTTTTGCCGAAGTAATCTGCCTCGCGAGGAGCGCAGAAGTTCCAAACCCAAAGGCTTCGGCCGGCAGGAGATCGATGGGATCCTGCCTAGGTGAATGTAGGACGTAACGGTGTAAGTCCGGGTCGACTCCGGATCTTGGGAAATTGACGTGGTCTTCAACAAACAGCTGCGATATTGTTTTGTAGCCGTCACCGGCTGGGACGAGACTTTTGATATAATGTAACGGCGCAGGCAAGACTACTCGGATCAGTACCGGCGGTAGTGTCACTCAGAGGCATATGGGAGTGCGTGGGACATCAAACGAGCCTTGATTCGAATAGACACCTATAGGCCTTGTACGAAAGGATATCAAAAGTCTACAGAGCTAGCTACAAGGAGTGTCTCAATATATACCTGTCCTAGTCGGGTCCGAATCGGATCCGACTAAGAACGAGTAGCTGATGAAGGGGCGGCCGATACTTCCTCTGATCCGGCTTCTGGGATTGGTCCGATACTTGGCGAGGCTGTAACATCGTTACAATAGATGCCTTAGATAACTATTACCTACTTCTAGTCTTCTAGCTAGATAAGATTTAGTCTCGTACAACGTTCTAAACTAGTAATAACCTTTATCAAGCTAATAACGCCTATCTAGAAGCTAGTATTATTAAAGTTATAGATGTTATCTAGATAGACTCTAAACTAGTTAATTATATCTCGTACAAGCTTAAACTACAAGCTAATCACCTCTAGGTCTTCCTAAAGGG